GCGGCGGGCGGCGGTCCCGAGCGGCAGAGCGTGATCCAGTTCAGCCCACCCTTCCCCGGCACCCAGGCTCCTCTCTGACACACCTTTAAGCGAAACATGCCCCAAGTCACAGGGACCGTTTCTCCCCTAGGAGCAGCAGTGGGGACCAGGGCCAAGGTTCCCTGACCACTGCTCAGAGGAGCCCCAGGCCCCGGCCGCAGTGCCTTCCGCGCCCGACCCGGGCCCTCACCTATCAGCCCTGGCGGGGCCCACTCAGGACAGCTGGGGGCCGGGGCGAGGCAGGGCCCTCTCTGTGCCTCTCTCCTCCCAAGTAGGAAGGGGCTCCGGGTGGCTGCTCTGGGACTGGGCATCCGCAAGGGCTCAGTGGGCCCAAACCCTTAAAATCCGTGAAACTGGGTGGTCCCAAGAGCTAGAAACTCAGGAAACCCCAGGTGCTCAGGGCCCCGCGTCTCGGGGTCTCTGTGGGGCAGACCCCCGCTAATATATGCAATTCCCCCTCCCCTAGCCCTTCTCTGACCCCTAAGTTATTGCCTGCTCACCTCTCCCCGGCCCCAGGCCGCGGAGCTGGCAGGGTGGCGCCTGCGGTTTCTATGTATTTATAGCAAGTTCTGATGTACATATGTAAAGGACTTTTTTAAATATATGTGCCTTTTGCCTACTTCCCATGGAGTCTGCTCCTCAGCCTGCAGGACAGGGAGGGAAGAACAGGGATGCGTGGGCATCCCCGGAGGCTCTTAGGTTACCAGGTCTCATTCTGTCCACCGCCCTGTGCTGGCCCCCTGTGGATGAGGAGGGACAAGGGCTGGGAGAGAGACCCCCTCAACCCCGTGTCTGGGGCAGGTGCCAGGGACTGTCCATTCCAGACCTCCAGTGGGGACAGCTGCGATCAGCCACCCTAGCAGGCTGCAGTCCCTCCAGCTATGCAGGTAGGCAGCCAAGCTGTGTCCAAACTGCCCCCCGGCACGGGCCCCTGAATGGTGGCCGGTGCTGCTGTGCCAGCCCCTCCTGGCCTGTCCACCCCCAGCCCTCATGGAGGGACTCTGTGAACAGTAACCACCCAGCTACCCCCACACCCCCCAGCCAGGTGAGGCCCCAAGGGCAGGTGTGGGTGCCCAACCCATCCCCACCACCAGGGTCACGCTGTTCCTCGGGCCTCTATACTTCTGCTTTCTGGCCAGAGGAGGCCCCAGTAGCCACATCCTAACGGGTTAAGACTCGGGGCCTGGAAGAACAGCCACTTGAAATTATCTTCTCCAAGACTCAGCCCTACTGGGCCCTACCTGTGCATACCAGACAGGGCTGCATGGATTAAGGCCCAGGGCTTGGTGTCCAACGGGCCCAGATCTCACTGCACCCCAGCACCCCAGCCAGCACAGCCCCCAAGCCTGGAGGAAGAGGAGGCAACACTCCACCTTCATGGCATTCCCTGGCAGCTGACAGCAGCTGGCCCTGACATGGAGGGGTGCCTGGCAAAAGGGCCCCCCCAAGCCCCTAGGCAGAAAGATCCAGCAGACCAATTTGTCTGTTTATTCCCATAAGGCAGCCAGGGGTGGGGGCGCCGAGCCAAGCCCAGCGGGCCACGGGACCTTCCTCCGGCGGGGTGCACGCTGGATTTTCGGGTCTGCCTCACCAGGAGCTGGTTTGCAGGCAGGCCGTCATGGGTGCCGGTGGAAGGCTCCGAGGGCGTGGGCAGGGGGCTCGGGCGGGGCCACACACTTGTGGAGCTAGAAATAGTGGGGCAGGTCCTTCTCTATCACCTGTCGGGGAGAAAAGCTGGGTCAGGGCAGCTAGCTCCCGAGCCGCTGCCCCAAGCAGGCTCCCTAGAGAGGACCTACCAGGGGTTCCTCCATGGGTCCGTACCGCTTCACCACGCAGCCGTTCTTGTCAATGAGGAACTGTGGAGAGACAGTGAACTGTGGGGCACCGTGGGGGTGGCCCCCTGCAAGGGGCTGAGGCTGCCCTTCCTGCCCGCTGCCCATGTGGGCCAGGGCTGTGGCTGTGGGGAGCTGGTCTCCTACCCCCCACAGCCTCCTTACCTTGGTGAAGTTCCACTTGATGGCACTGGAAAAGAAGCACATGGGTGTAAGCGTCCCCAGCAGCCCCCCACGGGCCCACTAGCCATCCTGCCTCCAGGAGGCCACATGGACATGAGTGTCCCCAGCGGCCCCCCACGCCCCCCCAGCCATCTTACCCCAGGAGGCCACGCAGTGTGAGAGTCCCAGCAGCCCCCCACAGCCCCCTGAGCCATCCTGTCCCCAGGAGGCCACAAAGGTGTGAGCATCCCTGGCTGCTTCCACAGCCCTCCATGGACCCCAGAGCCATCCTGCCCCAAGGAGGCCACACAGTGTGAGAGTCCCAGCACCCCCACCTCAACCGCCCCCTGAGCCATTCTGCCCCCAGGGAGGTGTGCGCATCCCAGCAGGCCTCCACACAGCCCCCCCAACCCCGCAGCCGTAATGTCCCCAGAGGTCACGCACTTTCCCAGGATGCCCTTGCCCTTGGGCTGGATCTTCATCCACTTCCACAGCGGGTGGGCGTCGTCCCCGTTCACGCATATCTTGCTGAACATATCGAATTTGACGTTGTAGCCCGCGGCGAACTCTTTGATCTCTTCGTTACTCCCTGGCTCCTGTGGCGGCCAAGGTGTGCTTGAGTGCGTCGGAGGCCTGGCACCTCCTCAGTCCGGGCCCCCCGCACACTCGGAGGCCCTCTCCAGGCCGGAGCCCACCCTGACCCCCACCCATCGGCCTCTGCAAGGCCAGGGTCCACCCCCACCCACCGGCCTCTGTGAGCCCCGGGAACGCAGCAGCCGCCCACCTGCTTCCCGAACTGGTTACATGGGAAGGCCAGGATCCGCAAACCGCACTCAGCGTATCGGGCGTGCAGGTCGACGAGCTGAGTGTAGTTCACTTCGGTCTTGCCTCACTGGGAGGCCACGTTGGTGACGATGCACACGAACCCCCTGCAAGAGTCGGCGGGGGTCAAGCGCAGAAGAGCAGGGCCCCCTCCCAGGCCCCGGCCATGCGCCCCACCGCAGGCGAGCGCCCACCGGTACTTGTCCAGGTTAACCATGTGCCCGTCGATGTCTTTCGCGGAAAACTCGTGCATGGAGCGCGCACAGCGCCAGTCGTCCCGGGACGCGCACTGCAAGGCAAAGGGGGCTGAGCAGGGAGCATGGACGGGAGGCCGAGCCTGGGGCCCTGGGGTAGGAAGGGATGCGGAGCGGGTCGGTGGCGGGGACACCGGAGCCCTGGGGCCCTGAAAACCTGAACGCTCCTCCTCCTTAAACGCACACGCCTCCTTGTGCCTCTGGTCCCGTTTTACCGGAAACCCGGAGACCGAGAGAAGGTTCCAACCCCAAAAAGTGCCACAGCAGCAGGTGTGAGGGCCCCGCGCGCACCGGGTCCTGGGACTCGGGACATTCGTGGATCTCCGGTCCCAAGCTGCGGGGACAGGGCTCCTTCCGCCGGCGCCGCGCCCTCCTG